CCCCTGGCTCTCTTCCCTGGGAGTCTCCTTTGCTGCTCACATAAAACACTTCATTTCTGACACTTCTGGTCACCAAATGTGCAGACAGTTTTCCCCACACCAACAAGCAATTCTTGGATACCAACATGTTGTTCGAGAACTCAACTAAATTCTGACATGATCTACCCAGAAAGAGCATCAGATTCCACAGGTTGAGAACTCAGTCCCACAAGACCACCTCCCCCCGCCAACCCACTTCAGATGCCAGTGGCAAGCCCAGTCTCAGCCTTGCTTCTGACGGCCCAGCTACAGATCAGAGATTCCAATGACCCCCTCTGGCTAGAGCTGCTCACAGCACTCAGGGAAACACATACTTATGTTTACCAGTTTATTAAAGGACATGATAAAGGACACAGATGAACAGCCAGATGAAGAGATACACAGGGCAAGGTCTGGGAGGGTCCTGAGTGCAGGAGCTTCTGTCCCCGTGGGGTCGGGGTGTGTCAACCTCCTGGTGTGGACGTGTTCCCCAACCTGGAAGCTCTCTGAACTCCTGTACTACTGGGGTTTTATGGCGGCTTCCTCACGGAGGCACGGTCAGTTATTACCTCCATTTCCAGCCCCTCTCCTCTCTCTGGAGGATGGGGGTAGGGCTGAAAATTCCAAGCTTCTCACCGTGGCTTGATCTTTCTGGGGACCAGCCCCCATCCAGAAGCCATCCAGGAGCCCACTAAGAGTCACCTCACCTAGAACAAGAAATGCTCCTACTGCTCCTATCACTTAGGAAATTGCAAGGGTTTTAGGAGCTCTGTGCCAGGAACAGGAGGTAGAGACCAACAGATATATTTTCTATTATCTCATTATAAAGTTTTCCTGTTTTTGCTTACTCATATTTTCTGATTTTTTAAATAATTTAAAAAATTTTTTTCATAATTCTTTAAAGTAGGTATTTCCTAAGCTCCTGGCCTCAATCATTTCACTTCCTACTCTAATTGTGCACCGGCCTCTCTCGTGAGGGCCAAACTCCTGCTTACTGAACTCTTGACCTGAGGGTCTCACAGGCAGGTACGTCAAATTCTCCAAGTCTAAAAATGTAAACATGTTACCTTTCACCCGCTCCACAAACGTACCAGCTCTCCCACCTTCCTTATCTCAATGGACAATATCATCATGCACTCTGACCCAGACATTCTTGCCTCCTCCCTTTGTCTTACAGTTGGTCTTACCAGCTACTTCCTCCTGCACATGAGGCCTTTTACCTCCAGCTGCCTCTAGAATGAGTCTTTGATTCTCCACCCTCCCGCCAGCCTTCACCTGGGTCCTAGTCACCCCTCCCTGGGATTGCTGCATAACGGTCTTGTCTCCCCAGTTCTAATCTTGCCCCTCCATGCCACCGTGGAAGGAGGCTTTCTGGAGCATAGACGCAATCCCATCATGTATGCTCAGTAAAGGTCTGTGGAGCGATTCCGAACAGAACTAGGTACAAGAGCAGTGACTCCACAGGCCTTCTGTCTCCGCAGCTCCCATCCCACCACTGTCTTCTCCCAACCTCCTCTGCCTCTGCGCTGTCTCATCACCATGAACGGGGGTGACATGAGTCTCTGCAGTACTGTCTCTAAAAAAAAGAACATGTTCCAGCCCACGAGTCCTCTCTGACTTCAAACCTGCATTTTAATTTGTGATAGGATATGCTTAGACTTTAAAGGGGAATCAGTACCAATATTTCCATCAAATGCAAACACTACGTCTGTCCTAAAACCTACAAAGGTCTGCTTTGCTCTTCCTGGCACTGTCCCAAGCAGCTGGACTCCCAAGGTGATCCTGGTACTCAGGGGTCTCCCACAGACTTGCTTAGACACAAAGCAGCTTCACCATAAAAAGCCTGCTCCCCGTCTATTCTTCATGGTATTCCTTTCCCCATCTCTCCTAACTGCCCGCAATTTGTGTACACTGTCTGGAGTTTGGGTTTGCTTTTCTTTTACTTTTTAAATTGAGGAATAACTTATGTGAAGTAAAGTGCATAAGTCTTAAGTGGACAGCTGGATGGATTTTTTACTATATATATACCCATGTAACCACCACCCAGATCAATACATAGGCCATTTCCAGCACCTGCGAAGGTTCTCTTGTGCCTTTTCCCATCCGCTGTGAGTTAATAACGCCCCAAAGGTAACCACTATTCTGACCTCTATCATCACAGTTCTGTTTTGCCTCTTACTTTAAATTTTTATATAAACGGAATCATATAGTATTTACAATTTTATATCTGGCTATTTTTGCTCAACAATGTCATACATTCTACCTTTTAAATCATACCATCCCACATATATTCTCCAAAATTAGCGGAAATAAAATCAAGCCATTTTTAAAAGAATCATTTGCTAACAAACCAAAAGAAATTTTAGTTTATGAATATGACTATTTTATGAATAAGAAAGTCAGTGTGAAACTACTTGTGAATTTATCAGTAGGCTCATACAGGAAATAGTGCCACGTGGGGTGGGTTATTATTAGATTAGCACTGAAAATTAGTTTGAAAAATACTACAAACTAACTTCATTTACAAATAAGGTCAATAAGTAAAAAGTATGGTCCAATTTTCATGATATGAAGAGAGGATTGAGATAGCCTTTAAATACATACATGAAGACTGAGAAAAGAAAACGTTGGCACTTAAAATTTATAACCGCATTTTCTTGTGCTTTAACATGTACTTTGACTCCCATGATTATCTTTCTGTCTAATCCCAAAGCTATCTTGCTGTCCTTCTCCCTGTCTGTGTCACATTCAGCGAGTGTGATGTTTCAGGAGCTGCTCTGTGGCACATCTATCTGAGAGCAAAAACTGAAATCACTGCTCTGGAGAGGACAGATTATTCAGAAATACTGAAATAAATATTCTACGAAACACAAACTTTAGATTTTGACTCTAATATAACATTTAGACTTTATCTATGTTTAATTGATGTTAAATGTCATTATATTTATAATGGAACTATAAATTTCACGTGCTTAGCCAACTGCATTCCTGACCTCCAGCCCCATTTGTCCCACAGCCTGAAAGACGTATCCGTGTGAATCTGTCACAGCAACCTCAAACACATCACCAGTTTTGCCTCTTTTATTCTGTATATGAGTGAAGGGCAATCCCAGCCAAGCCAGACACTTGGGAGTCAACCTAAGCACCTACCTCTCCCTCCACCTTCACATCCAGGTACCACATCTTGTCAATTCCATCTCTTAACTATTTTTCAGTCCTGTACCCTTCTCTCTATTCCTACCAACGTGGACTTAGTTCTGACTCTCACAGTTTCTTACCTGCATAACTATCTCTAATCTTCCTACAACTAGCTAATTGGTCCCCTGCCTCTTGTCTTCCTCTGCTTGAATCTAGTTCTATTGAACAGGTTCAATAAACATCTGGTAAGTGCCTGCTTTGTGAAGTTCTGTAGATAGCTCCAGGGACATGCAGATGAGTAAGACGGTTCCTGCCACTGAGGGGCTTACAGTGTAGTCGAGGGAGACAGAGTATGTGGCAGAAAGGGCCTTGGTGTCAGACAAATCTTGGTTCAAAATGTCAGTTCTGCTACTTACTGGCTGTGTGACTTTGGCTCAATTGCTTAATCTCCCTGACCTTGTTTCTTCACCTATAAAATGGGGATATTAACACTCACCTTCCATGGCTGTTGCAAAAATCAGAAAAATATGCAAATACTCAGGTCATAATAGGTGTACAGTAGACAGTGTCTCGTATTGTTAGTTTAGCTATACACTTTTAATAGAGTCAGCATTTTCTCAATGGAGATTAAAATTAGTTTTTTCTAATCTAATAATTTTACCTTGTAAAATTTACCATCTATTGCAGCAGGTGTAATATGTTCCCATTAACGTAAAACTCTATTTCTATAACTCAAAAAGGCAATTTTATAAAGTGGTTAAGAATGTGGGCCTGGAGCCAAACAGTCCTAGATTTAAATCATCTTAAACACCTTTGAGCTGTGTGATTTGGCCAAGTCACTTAGTTTTCCTCAAACAGCTTAACACTTTGACATCAGTTTGTTCATCTGTAAAACTGGATTAACATGCAGGTGTTTCAAAGGGTTGGTAAACTGACTATCACAGTGTCTGGTACACAGGAAGTAGCTGATAAATGTTATTAGAAAGTGATAATCCGGAAAGCTGCTCAAAAAAAGGCAGGGGACCAATTAGCTGGTTGTAGGAGGATTACAGATAGTTATACAGGTAAGAAACTGTGAGAGTCAGAACTAAGTCTGTGTTGGTAAGAATAGAGAGAAGGGTGCAGGACTGAAAAATAATTAAGAGATGGAAGTGACAGGATGTTTGGATGGAATTGACAAGATGTGGTACCTGGATGTGAAGGTGGAGGGAGAGGCAGGTGCTTAGGTTGACTCCCAAGTGTCTGGCTTGGGTGGTTAACTGATGGCTGGGATTGCCCTTCACTCATATACAGGATAAAAGAGGCAAAACCGGTGATGTGTTTGAGGTTGCTGTGACAGATTCACACGGATACGTCTTTCAGGCTGTGGGACAAATGGGGCTGGAGGTCAGGAATGCAGTTGGCTAAGCACGTGAAATTTATAGTTCCATTATAAATATAATGACATTTAACATCAATTAAACATAGATAAAGTCTAAATGTTATATTAGAGTCAAAATCTAAAGTTTGTGTTTCGTAGAATATTTATTTCAGTATTTCTGAATAATCTGTCCTCTCCAGAGCAGTGATTTCAGTTTTTGCTCTCAGATAGATGTGCCACAGAGCAGCTCCTGAAACATCACACTCGCTGAATGTGACACAGACAGGGAGAACGCTTGTAACACCAAATGGTACCAGAAAGTGCTATCTGGAAAGCTGCTCGTCATCTGGTTATCTCCCGTGGTAGGATTTCAGCAGATATTTCTTTTATTCTTTATACTCTTCTGTATTGCTTGAATTATTTTTTTTACCCCAAGCACATGTAAATTTTATAAACGCTATAATAAAGTTTTGTTAAAATTTACCTTCTGAATTCAAGACTTCTGGTTTCATCTTTCCAGTACCACATCCCTAATCGTAATCCCAGTTGCTGTAAAATGAAATGATTGCAGCAAAAATAATTAAAAGTTCAATTTGGAATCCACATGTCACAATGAACTTTCAATAATAATTCCCACTAGTCGCCCTTTAACTCTATTCAATAAAGATGTAGGATCTTAAAGTGTTCTCTTTTCTTAATCTGAAGCTAGGATTTTATCCTTTTCTTAATTGCTTTTAGGTGTAGTTTCAGTAGAAAGGAATAATGGAAGGGAGAAAGAGAAGGAAGAAAACTTCACTTAGCCCGCACTAGCTCAGGGCTCATCATAGCAATTTAGCGATTAATTGGGACTCAGACCACAATAAACTGACGCCCAGAGCAGCCTCAACCTTCTAGAGGCGTCAGACACCCCCTAATAGGAGGAGCCTGTTTAACACGGAGCCCGCCCTTCAGAGGACGTCCGCAAAGAACAAGTTTACCCTTTTCACCGAGCGGCGGCTACAACCCACCAGCATTCCCCCGCCCCGCCACCAGGGGATCCCACCCACAGCAGGACGGCGTCGTCCCCAGTAGGGCTATTTATATTGCAACCAACCAATTAGAGGTGGCGAGGTGGGACTTTCATAACTATCTAAATATCCGCGTAGGGAGCCAGAATTCAATTCTGACCGTTTCCCGGGTACACGTTCATAGTTCTGCTTTTGCAGGCAAATATGCCTGTAGCTCTTTGAGTACCGCTCGCCCCGGGGCTCAGGCGGCGACCCGCCCGTGGAGGAGGGCGGGGCCGCGGCGGAAGGAGTCCGGGCGGCCCGGCCCCGCCACCCAGCCGTCTCAGGCGCCGCGGGCCGGGAGGGGGCTGCGGGCCGGCCGTCACCGGCCGCCGGCGTGGGGGCGGCCGAGGCGGCACTTACATCCCGCCGCATCGCGGCCTGGCCGTCCAGCCGCTTCCTCCGCGAGTAAAACTCCGGCACCCGGTGCATGGCCTCGCCGGGGCCGCCTCCCGGCACTGCGGAGGCAACCGCCCGCGGGCGCCGGACCCCGCGGCCTGAGGGCGAACCGGGGCGGGGACGTGCTTCCGCCGCGGCGGGCGGGCGACCTGGAGCGGAGGCACCTCGGCGCCGGCGTGGCTCCGTCCGCGCTCTCGCCTCCTGTGCGGCGCTGGCTGATTGGCGTAGCCATAGCAAAGCTGCCCAGGTGATGCTTCTCAAAGGGTCAGCGCTGCATGGCCTTCCAACCGTGAAGTCAACCACTTTACTGTTTCCTTTTTAATTGGAGTAACTAGATTCAGTTCTATAGGGAAGATCCTTTTGTTCCAAACTTGGTTAGCACTAGATTAAGTTCAAATCCAGACTGGGACTAGGTTGATTGGGGGGGGGGGGGGGGGGAGGGTTGAGGGGAGGAAGCGTGGAAATAAGGTTTTCAGAACTTGGTTCTGCTGCATAACTAGATGTGGGACCAAGAGCAAGACAACACTGATTTTGCTTCTGAAGATACCCTAGTCAGGGGTTATGAGGATTTTTGAGGAATAAAGTGTGTAAAGCGCTACCCTTAATAAGTACGCAAAATTAGTGCTGCCCAACGTAAAGAAACTTGCTTTGTGTCAATGGACGTTCAACTGATATTTTTACATTTACGCTTTTCAAATCATGTGTCTTGTAATTCCTTCTTGCAACTGAGTTGATAGGCAGATTCTGATTATTTTTTTCCTTCCAACACTGATGTAAGCAATGCTGGATGGCACTACATGATTGGCAATGCTTAATATATTCTGCTTTTGTTTTATCCCCACAGCTTAATAAACGTTAAGAGATGCTCAGTAAATAGCTGGTGATTGTGTACTCCCATAAACTTCAAAAATATGGCAATAGACATTCCCCCACCCTGGCCCTCCCAGTCTCATGACTTGGCCACACACCAACACTGGTTATAGTGGTATAAAATTGTAATCACCTAGATTCACGTTCCACTCGCTTGAGTCCATTCCTGGCAGCTGATCCAGTTGGCTCGGATATATGGAAACCCACCTGTACACTGGCAGTGCTGCTTTGAGGCTATGGCCTCAAGGCTGGTTTTTTGAAGACGACTCACTTGAAGAGGAATAAGAACACGGAAGTCACGGAGAGTTTTTCACTAAGCACTGTATATAACCAGGGGTGGCGAGGACAGGGAGAAATAATGAGCTGAAACTCCAGAAAGGCCTGAGAAAGGCAGAGAGCTCTGGATGGAGTCCATTCACCCCACCGCTATCAAGAAGACCACTCTTAAATTTCACAAGATTGTAACCTATCATTAACTCAATAAAAATTTTAAAAAGGCCACTCTTCAGTTAACCTCTTCAGTTTATCCAATGAGCGAAGAAATGCTAGTAGAAAACCAAAGATCTTTTATACTTCACCACAGTTTAACTTCAGGCTGTCTAAAGTACAAAACTAAGGTAAAACTCAGAGTTGAGAACCCAAAACATGACCTATATAAAAGTTACATGACAAGTTATTCCAAATGTGCTAGAGGGACATAGTATTTCAAAGAAACCTTTGATAACTCTGAAGGGACCATCTCATAATTCTGTATTACTAGACCCTAACAAAAGGGAATAAAAGATTATTTTTATGGCTCTAAATCATTATTTAAAAAGTGACCTACTCATTTCTTAGGTTAGATTTTTCACCAATTTTGTCTTTTTTTGAATGACATTAGAAGCTCACAACCTAAAATGGAAATACTATAATTTTCCCTTTAGAAACAAACCATCCATGATGTTATAAAGTAGGGATAAAGGTATCATCTAAATATTTAATAATTCCAAGTGTTCTGTGAGGGAAAGATTTTTTTTTTTTTTGCCTAAGAGAAACTTCTCAAGGTCATAAAACATAGAACTAAATTGCTAATTTCAGGTTTTAGGCCCAAGACATTAACTGAATATAATGCATGCTTATACTATGAAAAAGTCATAATGGACAAGTTTTCATAGTGTTATTGTTCTGCCTTTAAAAAATTAACACATCAGAAAAAACAAAATTAACATGTCAGAAAACAGCAATGCCAGTATTTGAAACAGCAACTCCATTTTTGGTTGCTTATTTCCCTGATCTTGAATTCACAAACAACCTAATCTATACTGAAAGGGGCAGAGGAAGGAGCCTATGGCTTCTTTATTTGATCTAAAGACATTTCAACATTAAGTATCACTGTATTAAAGTTCAGAAATGCATATACCCTAAAATATTTCCATTCCAAGAGCTATATCTAGAATAAATACCTGGCTTTTTTTCCGAAAGAGCCATACTTTTTCTTCAAGATATGAAATTCTGTATCTAATTTTAATGCTTAAGGATAGTCCTCCGAAACAGTCTTCTCATACCTATTTATAAATTAAATATACGGAAGCAATTGAACATTCCTGTTGTTCTTTAACCTAAACATATACAGTCCCTTAGCAATTGTCTTGTCAGGCATGGATTTCAGATTCTTTAAAACTTCAATTTAATTCCAGTGTTCAAAAGCAAGAGGAACATGCCTCACAACACAACTTTTATAAACTACATTCAATTTAAAATAGGTGAATGCCTCATCATGGGCCTAGTATTTGAGCTTCATAAAAAGAAATCTTTTGATTTGATCTAGATAGCAAGGTTGTATTCCTGTTTAAGATTACAGACAGGATAAAGAAATTCTCATTAAGTCTCCTTGACATATTGAATAGATGATTCATTAAATATCCTATTATGCATAAGTTCAAATATGTACATGGAATTAATGTCTCCTAATGTACAAGTCAAGTTTTAATTTCAATGATAAATATAAAATTAATACAACAAAAAATTTAGAGTGAGCTTGTTTTGAAATTTCACACGTCTCAAATACTGTAAACAACCTGTTGTGTCTTATTTCAGTAAGTGTCTAGTTTTATTACTTCAAAACAAGGACAATGCATTAATCAGAAACTCGGGTAAGAATTTAAGTGCCTGTACTGAGAAGCGTATTTTGGCAATCCCTTAGTATCCTATATGCATTGCATTTGCTTTAGTCATGACCACTAGTCCCTAGTATAAGTCATTACTTTCAAGTTCAAGTGATGCTAATTATTCCTTAAACTGTAATTTAGCCTCATCCTAACATCAAGTACTTTTTCCAATGTTATCTGACTATGGCTGATCTAACATCTTCTAAGGAGTTCCCAAGAGTTACCCAGTTTCAAGTGACCCCTGGAAACACGGCTGCTTTGGTGGCTTTATCTTAGTAATATTCATATTTAGGTAAATTTGAGAAGACAGAATTAAATTAAAAACCCTCCCAAAGGCTAGGGGTTTTACAAATTACTTTTCAAAATAACCAAAAATAAAGTATCTACATAAATATATATTAGTGTTATAACAAGTTACCAGAGGCCAGGCCACAGGATCAGAGAGACTACCACTGGTCACTGTTTTGATACTTTAGAAACGAATCCCTTCTAAAGTGAGGTCTAAAATGAGTCATATTAATACCATATTGCACTTACAGAAAGACCTCATTATATTTTGAGGCTAGAGCAAGGGATAAACACTTTCAACAAATAAAGGACTAATAAAAGGTTAATAGAATGGGTACTATCTTGGTAAAATTCACATTAAATGTCACTCTAAGGCTACTATTCACCTGATTCTGTTAGTACCAAGGTAGTTTGTCAAATATTTATGTGATGCTATCTGTAGTCAATGAAACACCCTTAATGCCTCCTGCTGAAAAGTTTCCAGCGTGGCATCAGCACTGAAAAACCTGAGTTATTTTCAGCTTTTCAGAGTGTTAACAGCAATTACCTTTAAAAATTGTTTTAAGCTTATTTTGAAGCAATTTCACAATTGCCTTATCTCCTCCCCCCCACCCAAGTGAGACTTCCCAAAAGAAGAAAACAACTTATATGTACGTAAGAGTCAGCTCTTGTGTGACGGGGTCATTACCAAAGTCCAATATTTTTAGGCTAATTTGTTCTCTAGTTGTTCTATTACTTCAAAAATTAATCTCTCTGCATGATATTTAAGAGTCCACTACTAAGTTAAAAATACAACTTCCATAATTCACTATCTTATGAACAACATGAAGCAAATCTACATCACCTGGAAAGAGATAGCAAAGTGTCTACATGAGGTGAAAACATTAGGTTAGATATGTATTTTTCAATCAGCTTTACTGAATTTATCCCAAGTTCCCCTTGAAGAAGAGGAAAAATCGAAACAAAGCAGAAAGGTCATTCCACTAAAAAATAAACAGGAACCCCCTTCTCCCACGGAAGTGGATTAAAGCTTAAGCCCAGGATAGTGGGTCCCAAAGGGGTACAATATTCCTATCTGTAACAATCTCAAGTCACATATATAGGAAAATGGACAAGCTGCATATTAACAAAATACAGGACTATGTTGCAGTTTGTCTTTTAAAAAAAGAAATGTATTCTAGCGATTTAAGGCAGGTATTGTAAAAGCATTATGATTCTAAAATCAGAAAATAAAATCTGTATTCTCTCTCCCTATCCCCCAAGAAATTTTAACTACTGGAAACATATCCTTATGGAATTTGTCATGAGCTCAGAAGTTGAGCTCTTTTGCTAGAAAATTAAAGTTAAAACAAGTTTGACTAAATTTGGTCACACTATTAAAGTTTGCCTGCTGTCTCTTGCTTCAGGCATCTATGTCACAGAAAGCAACTTGTTTCACACCACCTTGGGCTATTATGAGAAGGTAACTCCTGCCCCAGCTTTTGCTTGTTTAGAGAAAGAATCATTTTATACGTGACCCCAGAGTTTAGCTTGTATTTTGCTGGAATATTCAGGAGGATTTTCACTTGAA